GAAAACAGAGGTAAGAATGTACAACCCTGCCCTACTGGTCATTCAGCATTGTAATGTCGCTCCCATAGAGTACTCTTATATTTTGAGATAGTTAGGTTCTGGTTAAGTCATGCTGCGACATTCAAAATACTGTGCAAAAAGTTGTACAGAGTTGTATGTAATCTAACACTTGAAATACTTGGAGGAAGTATTTTACAGTAAATGGGCTAGAAAGAAGCCCATCCGCAGCAGCCTCAAAGTAATTTCCATTTGACTTCTCCCTGGGTTATCTGGTGCAGCAAGTAGTATTTTTTTTCACATTTATATCACTTAAGAGTTTAGGGAGGAATAGTATTATGAATATTCTAAAACACCAAGTCCAGTACAAGTTTTCCCATTCAAATCCCTATTATAAATTCAGAATGAGGCTGAAAACCCAGTTATTTGAGGTCTGCAAATTTGCACGTAAGGGACATTTTTTAAAACAAATAAGTAAAATTGAATTAAAACTTGCTTAAGTGCTTGGTGCATTGCATTTTTTAAAGAATGGTTCACTTACCACTGTTATACTCCCACTGAAGTTAACACAAGCCAGTATAAATTGCCCGTGAAATTTGTCCCTAAGTATATTACAGTTCAATCAGATGATGTGATGTGATTCTTGGCTTGAAGCAAAGCAACAGAAAATTTTGATTTGTGAGAGGTGCAATTCTTTAAATGTCTTGATATTTTTGTCCAGAATATCTCTTTGCAACTTTAAATAAAATATACTTTGTGCAAAATGTATGTTTTATCTATATAATGCTTAAAATTAGTTATAAGCTACTTTTTTTCTTAAGAGACCTTCTATTATGAAGTACGTTTAATATCATTAAGTTAATGAAAAGCATTCCTTGCCCGATGGATGTATACATTTTTGAGAGAATAGCATAATTATATACTGTAATACAAAAGCTATGTAAAGTTTTTTATATAAAATATTATGAAGAATGTTGTATTCCATGCTTTAATCAGGTGGTAAATAAAGTTTAACATCAAACTTAATTTTTTTGACCTTGTGATTAAAAGCTTGTGTCAACTATTTTTATCACCTTGTCAGGGACTAAAGGCTGTAGAACAGAGGCATAGGTTATGTTTTGCACTCAGTGCAACTTCCTGGGACAGGCATAGCTTCTGGCCAGTCAATAAAGGGAGAAGCTCTAAGACCTAAAATGTGATGTGTTTTCCACACAACATCTCTGAGTTGAAACTCTTCTGTAAGGAGGAATGGGCTAAAATTCCTCCAAGCTGATATGCAGGACTGATCAAGAGTTATTGGAAATGTTTAGTTGCAATTACAGGTTTAATGACCACTCGGTCAGTGACTCTTTAAAGTTCTAATGGCACTGAACAAGACGATCAGTCCTCATAGTTGCAGCCATTGCAGTGTCCCCATGATCATGTAATCACAATTTGGGTGCTTGGCAACCAGCTCACAATTATGAAGTTGCAGAGTCCTGCGCTCACATGATCGCCATTTATGACCTTCACTGCCAATTTCCAACAAGCAAGGTCAATGAGAAAGCCAGCAGGAGGTCACAAATGGTGATCACATGACTGCAGGATACTGCGACCACATTGGATTTGCCTAACGATGGCAACTGGGACTGCTGGAACTGCCATTGTAAATCAGCATGGTCACATGACATCACACGTTACAACTGCATTGCTTAGCAAGAGTTCTCAATCCCAATTACTGTCAGTAAGTGAGGGCTACCTGTATTGCTGCTGGGAGGGGTGGGCTCACCAGTTACTGAAAGCAAAAGTTCACATACTTTTGCCACACACAAATATGTAGCTTTGGATCATTTTCCTCAATAAATAAATGAATAATGTTTTTTCTCACTTGTTTGAGTTCTCTTTATCTAGTTTTAGGACTTGTATGGAAAACAGATCACATTTTAGGTCATATTTATGTACAACTATTGAAAATTCAAAAGGGTTCACAAACTTTTAAGCACCACTGTATACTGGAACAGCACTCTACAATCTATGGAACCCCAAAAGTTGCAGATGATAATGCTGGCAAGAACCTGAGGTTTGGAATCCTACTTCTTTATCAGGATTATGAGATACACAGCTGGCTTAGTACAACTCAACAGGTTGTACTATATCATGGCAACGGTGATTTTTAAAATTCTTCTAGGACTGTGGTCAACAATTAGTTTTGAGGGACCGGAGGCAGAATATAATTTCACTTTACTAAAGCATGGTTAATTAAATAAACCACAGTTGCCAGATTCACACAACACATGAAGTCAGAAGAAGCCACAGATCCAGCTATTTTTGATAACTTTCATCCCATCTCCAACCTTTCCTTTTTAAGGAAAGTTGTTGAGAAGGTGATAGGGAATCAGCTACAGAGGATCCTAGGGGAAGCAGGTTATCTGGATCCTTTTCATTTGGGTTAGAGTTGTGGGACAGTGACCTCCCAAAGGAGATGGCTCATGACTTGGGTATCATCCTGCTTAAACAGCAAGTCATAGCTAACTAAGATTTTTGCCCAGGTTCAGCTGGTGTACCAATTACAATCCTCCTAAAGGAAATCATTCTGACCTCAGTAACTTGTGCCTTGATCACCACTTGGGACTACAGCAACATGCCCTGTGGGGCATCCTTTGGAAATGCTGCAGCAGGTACAAAATGGAGCCACAAGATTATTGGCAGGACAGCCCGCATTGCTGGCCAGGAGGCTTCCAGAACCAATTCAAAGTGATGCTTGTTACCTTTAAAGTTTTAAACAGCACAGCATCAGAATACAGCAGGCAGTGTCTTGCCAGAATTGAATTGGGCCATCCAGCCCCATCATCAAGAGAAGGTCTGCTGAAAGTTCCCTGCCCTGTGAAATTCATGGAATGCAAGTGAGACAGAAAGACTTCTCTGAAATAGACCCCACTTTATAGAACAGTATACACCCAGACATATGTGCAGTCCTCATGTTGTTGCAATTCTATAAACAAAGTTATTTTATTTCAATTTACTTTCAGTCCCAGCTGACTTTGGGCACCTATTTTGGGATTCATAATTTTTCTTTTTGTTATACTGATTTGGATTATGTTTGTTTTTGCTTGATATTGTACACCACTCAGGGACTGGGGCAGGCTATTAAGTACTGTAATATATATACACAGAGAGAATAATGAATTAATCATATCTATTACATCCTCTTAATCCATACGAACATAAGCAGTTCCCTGCTAGATTGGACGCCTGGCCCATCTAGTCCAGCAATTTGTTCTCACAGCAGCCAGTCAACTGCACAAGGAAGCCTACTAGTCTCCCAGCAGATGGCTTTCAGAGGTTATCACTCTGCCATCAAGGCTAATAGGCATTGATTCTAATGACTTCCATGAACTGGTCCAACCCTTTTTTGAAGCCAGCCAAGCTGGTAGCCTTCAGAGCCATATTTCAGAGCTTTTACAGTCTGTGAGAAAATGTGCGCAAACAAGCAACCAACTAGTTTTGAAGTTGTTCTTACAGATGTCAAGAGCAGAAATGTGACAGATCTTCTTAGAATACTATTTAAGATGAACCCAACTTGATGACTTTATGTATACATCCATGTAATATTGTTGGCTACAATAGGAAAGTGATTTGTAATAAACAGATGTCTCAATCTCCTGAGTACAGGCACCCAAGAGGCATCTAATGGACTAATATGAGGGCGGG